TATTTTATTGCCAAATTAAAGTTAAGAGCTAATAACTACAAAATAATTTTGATACTTTGGAAAGTGAGCATATTGAATATATTTGTTTAATTCTCTATATATTCCTTATAAGCTAATTTTGAAAGATAATAGATGATACAGAGACCTTGCACATTAAAGTAGGAAGGTACAAGGTATATCTATTAAACACATTGGAGGAGAGAGATATATTGATAGATGCTGGTGGAATTTTTCCAGGTATTTCAAGAAGGTGGAATGTAAAACATAGACATCTTTAATATGAGCAATACATATTTTTATATTAACATAATATATTAATATGTAACATTAATAAAGATATGTTTCTCTATTTTTTGAGCTATGAAATTTTACTTCCCAAGAATTCTTTTAGCATTCTTTCCTTTATTTACTTTAAATTTGTAGAAATTAGCCAGGCATAGTGTTACATGCCTATAGTTCTAGCTACTTGGGAATCTAAGGCAAGAGGATCACTTGAGTTCCAGAGTTTGAGGCTGTGGTGAGCTGTGGTTGTTCCACTGTACTTTAGCCTGGGCAACAAAGTGAGACCCTGTCTCAAATAAATAAATAATTTCTGAAATTAATCTGAAATTTTGCTTAAAGTAATTTAGCTTGTAAGATTCATGTCAATTACATCTTTTATTCAAAAGACCTTTTTTCTTTTTCAACTTCAAGAAGATAATTCATATTTGCAGTGATTGACCATTGTACACCTAATTAATGTCTGTTCACAAGATAAAATTGACATCATTAGTAAGAATACATTTATTTCATTTTTTTCTTTTTTTTAAGTCTGTGTCTCACTCTGTTGCTCAGGCTGAAGTACAGTGGCACAGTCATGGCTCACTACAGCCTCAAACTTCTGTGCTTAAGTGACTTTCCTGCCTTAGCCTCCCGAGTACCTGGGCTTATAGGCAAATGTCACCTCCCTCGCTAGTTTTTTTTTGTAGAGACAAGGTCTTGTTGCCTAGGCTGGACTTGAACTCTTGGGCTCAAGCCATCCTACCACCATGGCCCAAAGTGTTGAGATTATAGGCATGAGCCACCATGCCTGGACTGTTTATTTACTTTTGATATAATGATTTTGAGTCTTAGTTTCTTTGTCAAGATGTACTACAAACAGAGAAATGGTTTTATAAGTTATCATTGATGCCATTAATTCATATTGGTGAGGCATGTATTATGTCAGCGGTTTTATCAAAGGCAATTGTTTGAAGTATATGAATTTCAAAGATATTTATATTTATTTTTACTGTACAAAATGATTTTAAGAACAATAGAGGTAGAAATAAAGAGAGTCAGGTAAAGTAGAAGCCCATAACTTTTAATTTGGGTGGGATTATTAGCCATTTAAAAGAGCTACTTTAAACTTTAGACCCTTTTGTTGCACAGGGTTATGATAGGTTCATTTGCCTGAGTTGCAGTATGTCAGTGTATCTAGATATCAGCGATTGCAGCAGAGAAAAAGTTGAATAATTGTAGCAGTTGAAGGAGATGGAAGGAAACCTTAAATCCTCCATCCCGCCCCCCCCCACCCCCGTGAGTGAGTTTGATTCTGAGGACTTTAAGGAGCTTGAAGGGGGCAGAGGTGTCAGGATTGTTGACTGGTAGAAGAGTATAGGGTGAAGTTGATCAAAGAATGAAGAAATTGCATTCTCATGCTGATTTGCTTCCTCAGTGAGGGCCTTTAAAACTGGTTGATGTTAGCTATTGCACTGGAATTTAGGGTCTAAAAAACATCTTAAGCAATTTTTAAACAAAAAGCCAGCTTTATGATTCTAATGTCAGTGATCTTATCTGTAGAAACAGTAGGAATGCAAACCAATTTGTAAACTAAAGCCTTATGATTCTAAGGTCAGAAATCCTTTCTGTAGAGACAATGGAGATGCAATCAGTCTGCTTCCAGTGACTTTTGGCTACCATGAAATTGGCCAAAGTGCAACTTGATTGATGCTTAATTATATTTCTGCCTAAGCAGAAATAGAACTCAGCATATAACTCTTTTTAACCCTGAGAAGATGATTTCAGAGTTACACAGAAAAGCAAGTAAATTAATTTGCAGTATATATCTGAGCATGAGTGTGAACTAATTATTGTGCTACTTAGAATCAACAGATGCCAATACATCTCCATGAGTTTTCATCGTGATCATAGGGTAAGGCAACTCTAGAACTCCTATATAAAAAAAGGAAAGCTTAAAAAATAAAGAGAAGTGGTTCCGTTAATATTATCCAGCTTCACACATTAGTAGAACTTGCCTATAATTTTTTTATTTGGAAGGAACTCCCCAGTCTCTACATTTCAAAAATACTTCCTCATCCCACAAGGTATTGCTGGAAAGTCTGTCATTAGAATTGGTTGCTGGGAAGGCTGGTTCCTCCTGGAGAATGCATGTCTTCGTCATTAAGGTGACGTTGGCTCTAATCAAGGATTCATAGAAGAATATTAAACCTTTACCATCTGTGTGCCCTCTGTGACAACAAGGTGGGAACAAGGCAGTTGGAAATTGAGAGGAGAAAGAAGGTTGCTTGCTACTTTAGGCTGTGTGAGTTTGTGCTGGTCAGGGGAACTGAGAAGCAGCCTTGGGGAAGTAAAACTGGGCTCTTCATCAGGCATCTGAGGCTGTCTCCAACAAACTTGGGAATTAGTTCAAGCATGATCACCTGCCAGTGCATTTGAAATGTACCGAGAGATTTTTCTTGAAGAATGAAAATTTGTATATATGACTATGATTCTAGTCTGTTAGAAGATCAGAATTCGAGCTGGGCTCGGTGGCTCAGCCTGTAATCCCACGCCTTTGGGAGGCTGAGGTGAGTGGATTGCCTGAGCCCGCGGGTTCGAGACCCGCCTGGGCAGCGAGACTTCATCTCTACAATAAATCAAAAAATGAGCCGGGCGTGGTAGCGTGCGCCTGTAGTTCCAGCTACTTGGAACGGTGAAGCAGAAGGATCACTGGAGCCCAGCAGGCGAGGCTGCGGTGGCCAGGAGCAGCCACTGCACTCCAGTCTGGGCAACAGAGTGAGACTCCAACTCAAAAAAAGAAAAAAAAAAAAAAAAAAGATCAGAATTCTATCAAATACAATGATTTATATGAGTGGTTAAAAAAATCCCATGTGGCTTCTTTATTAGAAAAAGGGGAAAGAGAAGAAGGAGAAGAGCTATTTTTAATTGCCCATAATTCAGTTTTATTTACAGTGGATCAAAAATTTCATGTTTATAAATTTAACTTATGAATGTAAATCAAATGACATAAACCAGTAATTAGCCATACTTTTTCATTCTAACTTAAAACAAAATATTTCTAAAAGTTTTGTCTATAGATAAATTATTTATAAAATAAGGGATGTTTTATAATGAAATAGTAGTAATTAAGGTAAAGTCAATTTTGTACAGCCTTAAACAATTATTTTTTGCTGTAATACACTGATTTATTCAGCAGATCTTTACTGGATGCCTTATTGGTCTCTATTCTGGGAGCTGGAGATTGCTGTGAACAAAATAGATACTTCTCTGCTCTCAGGGAACTTACCTTGTAATGATGCCAGCTGTAGCCCAGGCTAACAACAATAAGAAAGAAACCATTTAGTTTATTTTAAAGAGCATTTTCTTGTATATTTTGATAATTAATTTTGTAACTTAACATAATTGTCTAGGGCATTTTCTTTTTTTATAAGTTGAGGATACAGATGCATATACGATTATATTAATTTGGTCAATAAATTTAATTCTTTCAAAAACTACATAGAAAAAGGCTACTATTTACTGGGAACTATTTTAAGTATAATGGCAGTTAGCAAAATGAATTAGAGACAGATCCTGACCTCAAGGTGTAGTTGATTATTGCAAATACGACAGAAGAATGAAAGAAAAGCAGTTATAGAACAGGCTTTGCGCCAGTCTTGGTAGTTAAATAGAATGAAACACTGTGTGTCTGTGTGAAGCAGGACAGTACTATTGTCCTTATAGAAGCATGTTGAAAATTTAATATTTTCAATTTTATATTTCCTCCAAAAGATTATACCTGTTTAGGTTTTCTCTCCAGCTCAGAGTATGGAAATAGTCTCCGGTAAGAATTCCTTTAACTCCAAGGAAATAAAATGTAATCATATTTTAGATGATTATATAGCTGAGATTTTTCTCTACTTCCTAGCTTCTATCTTATTTAGAGGCTTCCTAAATAATGTAGCTAGGAATGGCAATCAGGAAACAAACTGCAAATGCTTTAAAATTTCCCTGTAAATAAGGAATTAATGGTATCTGAAATGACACCTATTTATGAAATAAATGTTACATTTAAACGTTGAAGAAGGCCGGGCTCGGTGGCTCACCTTGTAATCCCAGAACTTTGGTAGGCTGAGGCGAGTGGATTGCCTGAGCCCGTGGGTTCGAGACCAGCCCAGGCAACTTGGTGAGATCTCGTCTCTACAATAAATCAAAACTTAACTGGGCATGGTAGCATGTGCCTGTAGATCCAGCTATTTGGAAGGCTGAGGTGGAAGGATTGCCAGAGCCCAGTAGGTTGATGCTGGGGTGGCCACGAGCATGCCACTGCACTCCAGCCTGGGTGATGGAGTGAGACTCCAACTAAAAAAAAAAAAAGTTGAGGAAAAGTCAGGACTTCACAGGAAGAGAAAACTATCAAATGATGTAAGTTAGCCAATATTTTGATTTAGACTATACAAACCTTGACTATTAGAAACACAAACAATGATAGATCTTTCTCATCTTTGAGAGACAGGTAAGTTCTGATTTCTGTTTTCTTGGTATAAAATCGAGCATATAAAGATTGTGTGGCCTTTCCGCCTGATCCGTTATTATGCTGAAGTGAAAGGGACCCAGGCTGGCTGACTGTTACTTTATCAGTCAGTGGTTACCATTGTGGTTTATAGAACAACTGGAATTAGGTAGAGTCATGAAATGACTTCTAAAGACATATGTATGAAAAGCCCAATGATAGGCATATTTCTTTTTTTGCTTTGTAGTTACCAACTGACAAGTGGCTACAAGCCTGCCCCTATGGACCTGAGCTTTATAAAACTCACCCCATCTCAAGAAGCAATGGTGGACAAGTTGGCAGAAAATGCTCACAATGTGTGGGCCCGGGATCGAATTCGGCAGGGCTGGACTTACGGTATCCAACAGGTACATGGGAATTTATAGCTCCACAGCATGTAGTCTGAGACTTACATGCATGGGAATTAGAATAGTTTGCAACTAGAGGTATTAAATACTGTCTAATTTAAAACTCATATAGATGTCTTCATGTACTTGCACATTTGTTCTAAAGTACCTGATTAGTGCTAGACTCAAGAAATTAGATGATCTTAGCTGTGGATGTTATCACGAAAGACACTTATTAGGTACAGAGTGAGTAATACTACATGGGTGATGGGCCATATGGTTTTGTGACATTTCTCTCTCTGAGATTGTATTTTAGGAAAAACTTTTGAACTAGAAGAAGATGGAGATAAAAGAATAATAAAACAGGTTCACAATTCCTTATTCACAACTCCTAGGGCGAGGTGAATTTTTTTGTTTTTTTAAAGATTTTTTTGACTTGTTTTCCAAATGGTGATAGAACGATATATATTACATGTTACATAGCAACCTCAGTAGGACAGCAGGCTACCAATTACTACTTTTTCAGCACAGTGTAGGCATGATAATACCAAGAGGGATAAGTCAAGACTGTGAACAGCACTGCATCAGTTCATAAAGGTTTCACCATCCGGTTATTGTTATAGACAGTTTTAACTCCAAGTATCAGTAGGTGTTCGGGTATTTAGGTTTAGGTATTAAGTACAAACTTGCCGGAAAGAGGGAAGAAAGAAGAGACAAAACAGTATTCCTTCTCTAGTTTACCAGAACAACCTCTGTCCACCTCTGTAGCCTTAATTCTTTTTTCTTTTTTGAGAAGGTGTGGGGATATCTATAACCTCCCAATTCCTCTTTATGCTAAAGTAAATTGAGAATTAGTTATGCATCTTGAAATGTGGAAATTCAAGATATGCTCTGCCCTACACACTTGGTAGTTGATGCATCTCCACGTCCCATGAAAGTCAGTTTGGTACTTACTCTAAAACTAGGCGTCCTTTTGCCAAGGTAATAAGATAACTGGTCCTCTCTCTTTGTACAACATTTTAGCCACATTTTAAATCTGGAGTTTCTTTTAGAATAGACAAGTTATGATATTTGCAGTCACTTCAGTGTATTGCCTGGTTTCACTGATTGATAAGATCAACTGAATGCATATTTTTCGAGCTAGCTAAGCAACATAGATTGGTGTTCCATGGTACACTTTTTTTTTCTGAAGAAAAGACAGCAGCCCTGTGTTCTTTGTTGGCTCTAAATCACTGAGGTGTGACCAGGACTAATTTGGCATTTATTGGAAAAAAACAAAACAAAACAAACTTATCAGTGAACTGAACTAGGAAATTACATGTTCTCTAAGTTATCCCTTTGCCTTGTGACCATGGGATATAGAAGTGGTTAGAGGACATTAAAGTCATCTTTTGTTATTATTATTATTATTTTTTCTTCTCATGGAGAGGACCTGCTTTAAATTTATGCACTTCTTCATTTGAGTGAATCCTTTATATAGACAATGTTTTGGTAACTTCCATAGCCTAGCAATACAAAGGGAATGGAAAGGGCAGTTTTTACCTCATAGGCTTTAAATTTTGATATATTTAGCAGCTGCCTCTTTCCAAAAGCCTTGGTATTGCTTTGATGACTGAGTACCATTTTTTTTTTCCCCTACAGGATGTAAAGAACAGAAGAAACCCTCGCCTTGTTCCCTACACTCTTCTGGATGACCGAACCAAGAAATCCAACAAGGACAGCCTCCGGGAGGCTGTGCGCACGCTGCTGGGTTATGGTTACAACCTGGAAGCACCAGATCAAGACCATGGTATTTTGGTTTTACTTTGCTCCCCTTTGTTTGAAAATCATGTAATAGTTCTTTAAAGCCAAATACATGAATCAGAGGGGGAGTACCTGATAGAGTCCTTTAGTCTGTGTGTAATTTAAAAGCAGTGCATTTTTTCCCTAAGGGATTAGACTCATCTCTCAGTAGGCTGGCTCAGTACCATAGTGGTTCTATAGGGAGAGGCAATGGATTGACCTTCCCAAAGAGTTTGAGATGAATAGTTACCTCTTTGATTATGATGTCACTGGCCTCTTCCCCTACCCCACCCGCCTTCTTCCAGAAGAGCTCATTTTTGTTGATTTGGGGAGTAAGTCTGTAGGGGGAGCTAGTATTTCCCAAAATTTCACCTTTATAATGTATACTTATACATATAGACAATGTTTAACTAATTAATGTGATATTTTGCTTTAAGGAAAAAACATTAGCCTGAGCACTCAATGAATATGGGTTGAATCAAATTTTAAAATTTTAAATTAAAAAAGTTTATTTTTTGAGTTGGAGTCTCACTCCATTGCCCGGGAGAGTGCAGTGGTACATTCACAGCCACCCCAGCATCGACATGCTGTGCTCAGGCGATCCTTCTGCCTCAGCCTTCCAAATAACTGGAACTACAGACGCGTGAAACCATGCCAGATTACTTTATCTATCTATCTATCTATCTATCTATCTATCTATCTATCTATCTATCTATCTATCTAATCTATCCATTTATTTATTGTAGAGATGAGTTCTTGCCAAGTTTCCCAGGCCATTCTCGAACCCATGGGCTCAGGCAATCCCCTCACCTTGGCCTCCCAAAACACTGGAATTACAGGCTTGAGCCACCACACCTGGCCTAAATTTATAAATTTAGAGACCCTATAAAGAACACATTTTCCTTAAATGATACCTTTGAAAACTATAGTTTAAAATGATCAACTCATTAATCCTTTGCTCCTGCAGTTTGAATTAGTATTTAATATCTGTATTTTAAAAATTAACAAAAATGAAATAAAGATTGTTTCAATGTAGTGCATTTTTTGTTTTACAATTTAAAAAAATCTATCCCAAATATTATCTGATGGCTAATATTTTCAATGTGGTATCTGTGCATAAAAAAATGAATCCAGATATCTTAAATAATACAGTTAGTCCCTTACTTGCAAATTAATTCTGTTCTAAGAGTGCATTTGTAAGTCCAATTTGTTTATAAGTCCAGCAAAGTTAGCCTAGGTACCCAAGTAACACAATCAGCTAATACAGTACCAGCTACATCACCGCGGCTTTTATGCTTGCTTCTAGGCATCCTGGGCTTGAAATAAAGATACTGTACTACGTACTCTATACAGTAAAGGATACAAAAGCACACCACTTGTGGAGGGTGCATGCATGTGGCAATGTAGCAATGTATGCCAGACTCGTGTACTAACTTATGTGATTAGACATGTGAACACAGGTTTGTATCTTTGAAAGTTTGCAACTTGAATGTTTACATGTAGGAGACTTACTATAGTGAAGGCTTAGCCGGGTGCAGTGGCTCACACCTGTTAGTAATCTCAACACTTTGGGAGGCTGAGGCAGCAGGATTGTTTGAGCCCAGGAGTTCAGACCAGCCTAGTCAACATAGTGAGACCTCATCTCTACAAAAATTCAAAAAACTAGCTGGGTATAGTGATGCATGCCTCTAGTTCCAGCTATTTGGGAGGCTAAGGCAGGAGGATCTCTTGAGCCCAAGAATTTGAGGCTGTAATGAGCTGTGAGCATGCAGGATAACTGCATTCCATCCTGGATCACAGAGCAAGAACTTGACTCAAAATAAGGATGATACTAATAATAATGCAAGTTACTCTTCAAATTATGTTCAAATGTGCAACAATTATTATTTAATTCTCACAGTAACTCAGTAAGGATGATACTTGTATTATTCTCATTTCACAGGTAAGGAAACAGATTTAGAGACTTCTGTGTCTTCCTGTTTAAAATGGTGGATGCAAGATCCTAAACCCAGGCATTCTGACAGATTTGGGTCCTGTGAGTTGAATTAAGTGTATATCGGGGGTGCCACAGAAAATGTATACACATTTTAAGAGATGTTATATATGTCTTACATATATAATGATGGTAACCACTTTGAGTACCTTTTGTAATTGCAGGAGTCAAATGTGACTTGTACTCATCTTTTGTTATTGGTATATACTGAGTATTACAATTTTAATACAGTTTTTTTTTTTTCCTTTCTTAAAACGTGTATACATTTTTGGCACCCTCTGTAGGTAGCATCTTGACAGATTGTATTTGTTGCTGGCTCCTTATATTTTCTGGAAATAAAGTTAGGTATCTACTTGAAAGCAATAATATTCATAATAATAATGTAATATCTTGTCTATCTTGAGGTTTACTTTATAACAACAGATATGTGTGGTTCACTCTTACTGTGAACTAAGTGCTGCTAAGTATGCAAGAAATCAAAGAATCTCTGTCTCAAAGGATATGTAGTCCACATCACCACCAGAAAGAAAGCAAACAAGAAAAGGTTTCTAAGCCAAGAAATAACAGTCAGAAAGAATTCTACAACTGTCTGGTATAGAATAAAACCCTCAAAGCAAATTGATGCTTTTTAATTATTTTTTAATTGAGATATAATTTGCATACAATAAAATGTTCAGATCTTAAGTGTTCAGTTTGGTGAATTTTGGCAGTTGTATACACAAAAGAAACCTCCACCGAAGACTACATACCCAACATTTTCTTCATTCAAGAAAGTTTCCTTGTGTTCTCATTAAAGTAACCACTTTCTAAATTCTATGACCAGAGGTTAATTTTGTCTCGTCTTGTATTATAAGTATAATCACTACACTGTACAAAAAAATGTAATTACTGTAATAATTTTTTTTGCATCTGGCTTTTTTTGGTTTAACATAATGTTTTAATGGTCATATATGTTTACATGTATTTATTAAAACATATTGCTCACTGTTATTCCTTTTTACTAGTATTATGCTACAGTTTGTCCATTCTTCTATGGAGGAAGATTTGGAGGTTTTTTTTGTTTTGTTTTGTTTTTCCAGTTTTTGGCTATTGTGAATAAGGGTGCTATGAATATTCATATACAAATCTTGGTGTAGACTGTACTTCCATATTTCCTAGAGTTCTACATTTAGATGGACTATGTAAAGAGGGCTGCATTTTTATGTTTGTGTTTTTCTTTTTATTGAATTGTAGTTTTTAAAATACACTCTAGATATAAGAACTATGTCAGATTTTGCAAATATTTTCTCCCAGTTTGTAGTTTGCTTTTTCATATTCTTAATAAGATCTTCCAAAGAGCTGGCATTCTTAATTTTGAAGTTTATTTATGATTTCTTTCTTCATAGTTTTGTGTTTTATGTCCTAAGTAATCTTTGCCTATACAAAACAAAAGGATTTTCTTTGATGTCTTCTTCCTGAGTTTCATTATTTTTTGCTTTTGCATTTAGATCTATTATACAGTGATTTAATTTTTATGTATGGTGTGAGGTTAAGGTCAAGGTTCATTCTTTATACAGATGTATACCCAACTGTCTTTGTAGGAACAACTATCTTTACCAAATTAAATTACCTTTGTAGGAACAACTATCTTTACCAAATTAAATTACCTTAGCATCTTTGTCAAAATATGTTGACCATCTCTGGACTATTTATTCTGTTCTGTTGATCTATATGTTTATCATACAGGATAAGCGAATATTCCACTGTCTTTATTTTTAGTGCCTTATAATAAATCTTGAAATCAGATGGGGGAAATCCTCCAACTTCTTTCTTTTTAAAAAAATGATCTATTTGTTCTACCTTTTCCTTTACATTTTTATATGCATTTTAGAGTCAGCTTGTCAGTTTGATTTTGATGGGATTGCAACTGAATTTTATAGCCCGACCTAGGGAGACCTGGTATTTTAGCAATTTTTAGTCTGCTCATTCATGAACTCCATTTATTTTTGTCCTCTTTCATTTTTCTGAGCATCATCTTGCAATTTTCAGAGTAAAGGTGTTACATATTTTTTGTTAGGTTTATCTGTTACTTTTGATATTATTGTAAATGAAATTACTTTTAATTTTATTTCAATTTCCAATTGTTCTATGTGAATATGAGATGCACAGTTGATACTTGTATATTGATCTCATATCCCATGATCTGGCTAATTTTATCTATCAGTTTTAATTATTTTCAGATAAATACAATAGGATTTTTCTACATACATAATCATGAGGTCTACAAAAAATATTTGTCATCACTTTGTTGCCTCTTGATTTATTGAACTGGTAAAGAATCCAGAATGATGTTGAATAGAAATGATAAGAGGGGTTATTCTGTCTTATCGGGGTAAGGTTTTAGTGTTTCACCAGTAAGTATGATGTTAATGATACCTTTTTATAGATGTTCTTTATCACAGTAAAGAGACTTTATTTTTGAAATTGTTGGGAGATTTCATAACAAATGGGGTGTTGAATTTTGTCAAGTGCTATTTTTGCCATTTATTGAAAATGTTTTATATATGTATATTTTTTATTCTGTTGATATCATGATTTTCAAATGTTAAACCAGTTGGCACTTTTAGAATAACTTTCCTTATTCATGACGTATGTCTTTATTAGATTTTGATATCAGCTGACTTTCTAAGTAGGAAATGTTACCTTCTTTTCTGTCTTTTGAAAGCATTTGTGGTAATTTTGATTATTTCTTAACTGTTCAATCAGATTAATCAGTGAAACCATGGGCCTAGAGTTTTTATCCTGTAGGAAATGTATTTGGTTATGAATTTAATTTCTTTATTAGCTTGGGAGTTATTTAGATTTTCCATTATTGTGTTAGTTTTGATAGATTATATTTTTAATAAATTAATTCATTTCATTTAAGTTGCCATATTTATTGGCATAATTATTCTTATATACCCTTATTATCCTTTTCATGTCTGTAGGACCTGTAGCGATAGCTGCCTTTTATTCCTGATATCAGTAGACCATAT